TGACAGCTGCTCAATAATAGTCTTTTTTCCCTCTCATATGCTCACCCCCCCAAAAAAAACCTGGCCCACACCGCTGCTTTTCCTCTTAGTCTTCCCTATCTCCTTACTCTCAACTCCTTTCTCTTCCCAGAAGCCTTAAATTTGTTCCCTTGTCAAAAGGTTAAGTCAGACAAAAGACCAATCTTATCTTAGTGCAATGGATGCCAAGCCTAACAGTGCCCAAAAAGGGTCCTCTGGCAAACTTGTTAAAAACACCGCTTCCGGGGCATCAAACCTAGAGATTCTTATCCAGGGTTGGGAATCCCAGAATCTGCTTTTAAACAAGCTCCCTGGTGATTCTGAAGTGGTTGACCATTTTGTAGGGAAGCAGGATTCCACCCCAAAATATGTCTCTTTGGCATGAGGATTCTTTTAGGCTGATTATTTTTAGGAAACAAAAGGCTCTGGAAGAACTTCTCATCTCCTCCTTAACTGCCTAGAACGAATTTAGATGGAGGGCCTGTTTTAGGAAGGAGCTATCACCAGAAATAACTACAAAGAATGTGTGGGCTAGGTGTGGTGGGCTTGGGGTTGGGCAGGGCTTGGAGATCTAATTCCTTTCTGTGTCCCATTGTCTCTGCAGGGCAGGGCAAACATTTATTTACCAACATTTGCCCTTCCCATCTTCCTCTGCATTGCCTTCCTCCCCCAAGTCCCAGCCCCTACCCCCTTCTCCTTAGTTCAGAATGGCATATAAGCCTCAATTACATGACTGTCTGTCCCATAAGAATATGGGAGCCTCCTTATGTACAAAGTTAAGTTTGTTTTTTCTCCTGTTAATCTCTCTTTTCAGTTTAATTATTAGACCCTGAAGGGAAGAGGAGAAAGTTTTCCTCCTCAACAAGTTCAATGGGAAGCAGACAGATGTGCAACCATCTCAGAGGACCCCTCTATAAACATCATCTTGTCAGGTTTACTTTATTAGGACCAAAGACCCTTCTGGCAGTGAGGACCTGATCCTTGGCCTGCAGCATCCTGGAGAGCAGGTCATGTTCTTGCAAATGGGAGAGTCAGTAATTCAGGTCTGAGTGAGCTGTTGGCCATCTCCACGTGGCTGAGCCTACCACGTGTCCACAACCTGTTTGATGAAAAACTAGACTGCACGGCCCTCTTTCCAGCGCACATTGATGAATGCACCTCAGTTGTTGCATTATGCTAGCTGTGAGGTCCCAAGCTTGTGATACAGAAGGTACCTCTGCAAAGGGGAGGCGGGAATTCATAGGTGGAGGGGAAGAGATCAACCAAAGAACTTGTATGTATATATGCATAACCTATGGACACAGACAATAGCGGGGTGGAGGCCTGGGGTGTGGGGTTGGGATGAGCTATAAGGAGTTAAAGGGAGAAAAAAGGGGTCATATGTAATACTTTCAACAAAAGATTTAAAAATTAATTAATTTAAGAAAAAGAAGGGACCTCTGGCCTCTGTCCCAGTAAGAAAATCCTCACTTAAAGTTTTTCCAGACATAAGCACATGCCTAACCATGACAGTCCAACTGGTTACTCTTAGCCAACCTGATCTGGTTTTTGGTTGGTGCTCCTGTTGCTGGATGGTCAATCACAGAGTCATTGAGAGCAGGTTGCCCCCCTTAAAAGCCCTCTCTACTTCCTTCTAGTTCCCACTTTCACTATCTTTACTTCCTTTCTGTCTCTGGAGCGGGTCCACACTGCCCTCTGGTGGTGGAACAGCATTGCACAGTTGCCTGCAGAAGTCCATCATGCAGCTAATCTCAGAGCCTGACTCTGCCGGAGCCTGGAAAGCGCCCGAGACAAGTAGTACTCAGCCCAGAATCTGATTGCCAATGAAGTCTACCTCTCCTGAGGGCAGATGTATTTGACCAGGGGACCACACCTTCCCAGCTCCTAAAAATGTGTTTTCCAAGGTTGAATTCTGGTGTCAGCTGGAGGGGGGGATAGATTCTTACATAGAATTCCTTCAGGCATTTTTCTGCAAAGCTTTTCTTTGTTCCATTTTTGCAGCTTTAACATTGCCAAGCTTCAGAGAACCATTGTTGAGTCATTTATAATCTCTTGTCTCACAACTTGGGTGGAGGCAGTCCTGAGTTGACCTGGGCTCTCAGCAGCCCTGGCCAGTGCGGGAGGGAAGGAATAAAACCCAGCTGGATCAGGAAGAGAGAAATAGCCTGGGTACAGGACTAGAAGAGATTCCTAGGGAGAGGCAACTGGCATTGTCTGCCAGGCTGTCACTTACACTGGTTTCATTAAGAGTCATTAGTATGTAAGTAGGTGTGCATCAGAACTGGGTGGGCCTGGGCAGCAGGAGACCAAAAGAGGGTGGCCTGAACCTACAGCTCATAGGGAGTGGGGGAAAGCCAGCTGAACTCAGCAGAATAAACCAAACCCTGCTCTTGGGGGTGGAAATAGTTTGAAAACCAGAAAAGCAGTACAGCAATAAAAGGGAACCAAAGGAAGTGATGGTCTCAGAGATAGGGGTCTTGGTTGTCATGGCAACCAGACTGCTAGTGGTTGAGACTTCCCACTTAAAAGAAATAAATGCCTCTTTAGTTTTTTTTTCTTTTTTAGTGATAAAGCAACCAAGACCCATGATGGGGGGAAGAGGGCGGGGGGGGGGGTGGGAGGGAGGGAGAGAGAGAGAGTTACTTTAGCTTACCAGTGCTAGGATGAAAGGGTCACAAATGGATACAAGATTATGTAGACCACAGCAATTCTGCCCACTGGGAACCAGTAGGGTGGGAGATCTTTTATCATAACACTCTAGGGAGAGAAAGCTTTAGTGCTCCCATTAGAAGAATTTGGAAATCCAAAGATAATCCCAAGAGAATTATTATCTCTAGGACCCACCATTCCCTTCCATAATGGCACCAGGAGTGGCAGTCTTTAGGCCATATTTGCCGTCTTCTTATAATAAAAGAAATTCTATTTCATTATATGCTTTTCTTAAGTGCTCAAACTGCCTCTGCCCTTTTCTGGATCATAGGTGAAGTCAGTCCATGTCACACTTCACATTATTGTGGAAACACTTGTAAATAGGACCTAGGAGATAAATTTATCATCCTGTGGCACTAGGCACCTCCACGGAAGCTCCAACACACTATCCCCCCAGTTCCTCACTGGGAGACTAGGAGATCCTATTGGACAGTCCTGCCTGGTTATGAGGGAGAGACGGGCTGTGGAGGTGTCACTCATTCTTTGGATTGGTCAGCTTGGGCTGCCCTAACAAATCCACAGACTGGGTGGCTTCCACAACAGACCAAGGTGCCAGCTGATTCAGTTACTGGTGAGTGCTCTTGCTTGCAGATGGCCACCTGCTTGCTGCGTCCTCACATGGCCTTTCCTCTGTGCCTGTGTGAAGAGACATCTCTGCTGCCTCTTTCTCCTCTTACAAGGGCACAAATTTGATCCAAATCAGGCCTTACTTTTGGACCCCATTTAATCTTTTTTTCCCCTCTTTCTTTTCAAGATTTTCCAATATTGCTGGCAACATGGGAGAGCAGTAGGTCATCCATAATTGGGTAGAAAGATAAAGATTACATGGGGAGGTAGGCAAAAGGGATAAGAACGGGTATAATGGTTACAGGTTACAGGCAATGTGGCCTCGGGGGTGCAAAGGACAGGCAACTGACCTCATTTCACCTTTAAATGTCTTCTTATAGGCCCTCTCTCCAAATATAGTCACATTGGGGATTAGGGCTTCAACCTATGAATTTGGGGGGGACCCAACTCAGTCCATAAAAATCCTCCATTGACACTAAATAAGAATGAAAACTCAGAAACACAGATCAGGACAACTTTGTAAGTTGCAATGACCTTTTTTTATTTTTGTGTTGAGGAAAGGAAAGTATTGTGATGAAAAGTTTATATCCCTTGAGGCTTGGTTAATAGATAGCAATTTGCATTATTAAAATGCTGAAAAAATCATCCAGTTTAAAATATTGACATAGAATTACAATCATTTTAAGTTAATATATTTAAGTCTCATACTAATGACCTAAGAGGAGGAGTGCTTTCTGGAACTTTCTTCTTCTTTTTTTAATGATAAATAGGGAGGACAGAGAATAGGTAGTCAGCATATGGATAAAAGATGTTCTTGAAAGTGAGCCCAGAATAAATGGATCAGAAAGATTTAATGGAACTGAAAAAAGAACCAGTTATGTATATTGAAAGGGCTCAGTGTGCCAGGCAAGATCAATGATAACAATATTACACTGAATCCTATCCTGTCAAAAATAACTAAAGACATAGCCACAGAGGTAAAGGGGAAAATCCTATACATGTCCACACACTAACGAAGAGATAGAATTCTGGCTGAACTCAGACTTGAGGGTTGTAGAACAAAAGGCCCCAAGGCAGTGGAACAAAGTCTAAGTCAATTCTGAAGGTCAGAAATGGTGATAAGATATACACTGAGTGGCCAGATTATTATGACCACCCATCGGTACAGTGAAGTGAATTAGTTATGCAAATAATAATAATAAAACCGTGAGAGTATTTGCTTAGGAAGTTTTCAATATTCAGTATTTTTGAAAGTGTCAATGAAGTACTGATGGGGTGGTCATAATAATCTGGCTGGTCATAATAATCTGGCCACTCAGTGTATATTGTAGTACGATACATGGTTAATGATGAAAACAATAGAGGGCGTTCTGCGTATGCAAAGAAAGCATACCACCCATGTATTCTTCTTTAAAAATTACTTAAAAATATAATTCAGTTGACTGAAAGATGGAACAAAAATGAAGTATGGAAAAGTCATGCAAGAAAAGACCAGTGGGGAAACTTGAACTGTAAAAGCAGAAATACATCACTATTATTTTCATGACTATGGATTATGATATAACACAAAATCTGATGTTACCAAATAAATAATTGATGTAATAAAAATAACAAAATAATGACATATAATTAAATACAATTAAAATAATTAATTAGAGTAAAAAATACAAATGTTAGTAATATAATGAATAGCAAATAGACAGGAATTAGGGAGCTGACAGGTACAAGAGGGACACACACTTTAATTTAAACATGTGGCACATTAAAGGTATTTTATTTTTGGCTCTGGCATTTAAAACAAACATTACAATACACTTGGAAAACTTTCAGGTAAGTATTAGAAGAACTAAAAACTGTTACAATGCTTCCAGAATAGAAGATAAAAATAAAGAAATATAGGCCAAAAAAAGAGAGAGAAAGTATTCAAAATGGAAAGAATAAGTTGAGACTTAAATAAGGCCGACTATTAAAAAAATCCAAATGCAATGGATTACTTCTTAGAAAAATATAAAAGTTGAACTGATTTAAAAAAGCAATAGAATATCTGAATAGTCTAATCACCATGAAAAAAACAGAGAAAACAGTCATAGTTCCTCTCTAAAGGACTCTAGACTATATAATTTTATGACTTTAAAACACTATATGTTATTCCAGAACATATAAAATGGTAGAAAGTCTTATGAGTTATTTTACCAAGTAAGGATAACCCTATGCCTAACTATGGCAAAATACAAAAATTTATAGACCAATCTCATTTATAAATACAAATGTGAAATCCTAAAAAAATACTATCTGCAATGATATATTAAATATGTAACAAACAAAAATAGATTCCATACAAACTTAGAATTCAACTTAATAAATTTTTCATAGTGGTATGAGTGTACAAAAGCCCAGAATATGAAAAAATTTATAGGTTAAGAGCCCCAGGTTCTCCAATGAATAGATGGCAAGGAATAAAGTTGGCAAACTTACAGAATAGAAAGGGACTTAAGAGACAGAGTAGCCAAATACAGTGTGTGGAACTTGTTTGAATCTTGATTGAAACAAATCAATTGTAAAAAGATTTATAAGAAATGGGGAGAATGTGAACTATGTTGGCTATTTAATGGTATTAAAGAAGTATTCAATTTTTTAAGTGTGAGGTATAATTTTTTAGTTGCAAAAAAAAAAATACTAAAAGGAGGTAGAAGGTGTGATGATGCTATGAAGGGCCTGGATTTGAGTCAAGGGGACAGCTAATCACCTCCCAGACTCACTGGCAATCTAAGGATGACCAAGGTCACATCATCTGAATCCTGAAGTGGAGGTGCCTCAGTCCTTCCAGAATGGGGTCAAGGAGGAGCCTGGAGACTGTTCTCACTGGCTTCATGAAAAAATAAACACTTCTTTGAGATCCTTTTCAAATTTTGCCTCTAAATCCAGTCCTATCTGACCCAAAGCAGAAGCCTGAAAGAGAAAACAGCAAATGCACAGATATGAAGAGAGAAATAAAGAAATATAGGCAAAAATAATATGAAAGTATTCAAAATGGAAAGAATAAAATAAGACTTAAATAAGGCCATCTCTAAAAAACAAATGCAATGGATTACTTCTAGAAGAGATCTTTCCCTGGGCCTCCCCTAAAATCTTCTCCCTTAAAATCCTTAGGAAGGAGGACCCAATGCGCTCTCCCTTCCAGGAGCTTGCACAACCCGTGCCTTTCCTTCCTGTCCCCTCCTCTCCCCTACCCCAGGCACCTTACCAATTGCTTTCTCACTCCTTAGCTCCAAGGGCCCCTCCTTTATCTCTAGAACATGTTTCCTAAGCCCATTTCTTTCAGGATTACTTCTTCTACATCTATGATTTACCAAATAAAGTTTCTCTTACAGTTTGGGCCTTAGCTCTGAATTCTTTCCTAGCCAGAACCCAAGTACCCAGGATGCTGAACCCAGGTCTGACCCCACCAGTCAGACACCTGATGCTGTTCCCGCTGCCTACAACCTAAGGACATCGGATTAGGACCATTCAGTCACTCCAGCACTCAGGCAGAATGGGTGGGGAGATGCTGCTGCTACACTGAAATGGATGAGACTCTGCCTGGTTGGTAACTTGGACCTGACAGGTGGTCTGCACTGAAGAGCTGATTCTGATCACTGCGAAGCCAAAGATTGGTGTTACATACTGGTAGGTAAAGTAAAGGCATTTCTTGAAAGCCCACTCTTTGAAGGAAAGATGAACCTTCTGTTCTCCAAGGCTAAGACTGTCAGGCGTGAAGGCATTCCCAGGTCCACTCTGCTACCTCCAGCTGCATGTATAGACACAATTTGTGGCTTATGAACATGCTGAATTGTGGCATGCAGGAGGGAGGGAGGCTGGGTGAAGGTGAGAATCTTCCTTAGCTACCTCCCCAAAAATGTCTGTACAAGTTAGAGTAAAAACCAGGAGATACTCAAGAAACCAAAGTTAATGATGTCTTGGGGTGGGGGGAGGGGTAGAAGGGGTCAATTGGGAAAAAAGGGGGGACATATATAATACTTTCAACAATAAAGATTTAAATTGAAAAATACTCCAACTAATTGTCTCTCCCTACAAAGGAAGGTGGAAGACAATAAGAGCTGAGGACAATTTTGGATGATGTTTAAGTTCACTGGGAAATTTGGGTGTTGTAAGTCCAAGCATGCGCATCCTGGAAGTTTAATTTATTTCATCTTGTTTAATTAACTCATCTATTTCTATATTCCTGGGGCATGAAGAATAATGGAAACATAAATTTCCCTTCTTCTCAGTTTGAACAAGGAGGCTGGGGGAAATTGACTGTCTCAGTGGGAGCAGCCTGCCAATCTGGGAACTGAGGTGGATTTTTTTCAGGCACCATTTACAAGGGTCCTTCCCTGTCCTGCGTGTGGCTCTTTTTTGACATTCAGCCCTGTAATCCTTGTCTTCTGAGGACAATTCTTGCAAAATTTTGTCATTCCAGAAATTAGGGGAAAGTAGAATGCCGTAGACCAATTCCAGCATGTCATAATTTCAAGAGTTTCATCAAAAGGTTGATGAGACTTGGGGACTCAACAGGGTTGAGTCACACATGTAGTCATCTGTTGGGAATGGCTAAAGGCATTTCCCCAAACCTGAATAGGAAACTGATGGTGGCTGCCAGACAGCTAAAGGGCATCTTAATCTACATGTTATTGCCTCCTACTGGCCAAACACCTGAACAGCCGTAGGCTATTCCCAAAACTGACAATGCCTCTGTACCCTTTGAAACCTTACCCTTTGAAGTGTATTATCTCCACCTTGCCTTAGGACAAATTGTGTTAATAAAAGCAAGGGTCCTAGACAAGGAGGGACTCTTCAGTTCCTTTAGCTGAAGGTCCTCTGACTCCCAATGCCTTTCAAAATTATATCTCGTCTCCAGACTCTTTATTAGTCTCTGGATTTCTACGTCATCTACGCGCAACCCCTTTTCCAGATTCCTGAACACTTCTCTGTGCTGGGACATGAACCCCAGCATAAATGGACGCCCAAAGTGGGACAAGAGCACCAACAATAAATGGCGTCCCGAACTGGGGCTTTCTGAACCCTGGAAACACCAACAATAGTAGGAAGGATGTGAGAAGGAAGCAGGACATGTCCTTTCTACTTCACCTTGTAAAAAGTTTTATGGTTGTGAAAGATCAGGCGTATGTCCCGTACAAACCATTCCACTGTATACACTTTCTCAGTCAGCCTTTCCTTCACCAAGTCCAACCACATGGCTTCCTTAAAGGGCTCGGCATAATCTCGGATCTAGGGACAAAGTCATCAAAGGGATGATGTCAGCACAGCCATCATGACGGGATGGGTCCAACTTAAATATAAGGCAAGTCTTTATTTCCAGGGTAATGATAATACCATCTGACACTTAGATGCCAGGCTTTGTTCTGAGAACTGCCATGGTAATAACATGCCACAACAACCCTATGAGATAGGTACTATAATACCCACCATTTTACAGATGAGGAAGCTGAGGGAGGGAGAGGTTAAGTAACTTATCTAAGATGTCACAGCAAAAAAGTGGTAGAGCTGGGACTTGAACCCATACTTGGGCTCCTGAGTTTGAGCTCTTAATCTGTAAGCTATCCTTAAGAAAGACATTGCCCTGTAGAGACAGTAAAACTAGGACCCAAGGGAGAGGAAGCTAGCACAGTGGGGTGGAGTTGGTCCCACTCCAGCACCTGCAGCTAAAGGTTCTGCTCCCTGCAGACAGTAGCCTCTGCAGGACCCATATTCCGGGTTTCCAGATTGAGTTTTTCACCAGAGAGATGACTGGAGGATGAGAATCATCCAATGTGACACTTACATTACTTGGGATCTTTGCAAAAAAGGCACTTTGTGGGTGACAGTAGGTCTTCAAGAGGAGGAACTCACATTTCTGTAAAACATCAAGAGGGTTTTAAAGGGAAATACAGCAGGTAGACAGCAGAGAGAGCCTGTGTCCAGACAAGCATGCATGCGCAGGCAGACACACAGGCCCTCCAACCGTATTTGTCGAAGTGTCCTAAAGTGGGTTCAATTCTGTTCAGACTCCATTTTTGGGCACTGAATTATGGTCCTCTGAAGCCAGACACCCTTAGGTGCCTGTCCCCTGAGCCTGTGACTGTTGACTTCTCACATGTGAGCAGAAAGGAAAGATCTTGGGGTTTGAATCTGACTCACCAGCTGCTCCTCAGGCCCCATCTGCCTTGTCAGGACCTCAGATCCCCTGAGATACTGCTGACTTCCTGAAGACTCCTTCATCCTGCAGAAGGTGCAACTCCATGGGCTCCTGGGAGGTTCGGCATAGGTGAGCAAGGCAAGACCTCAGCAACAGCCACCATTCCTACAGCTGCCACTGTTCCTCCTTGCAGTGGCTGGTGGGCACAGCCAAAGCTTGAAGGGGACACTTCCCAGTCTCCAAGACCCCTAGGAGGGGTGTGACCTGATGACCCTCCTCCCATGGAGGGTAGCGACTGGGGGTCAGTAGATGGAAGGTGGTGTCAGGGTGAGTGGTGGGCTCTCCTTTCCCTGTCTGAGCTGCTGGAGCACAAGGAGACCTGAGTGTCGGAGGCTGGGCCTTAACCCCTGAGGGCCTTGGGCCCCATTAGCCCGTTGAGAATGTAGCAAAATGAAGGAACCAGGCCATGTTTCCTGCCTTTTCTGAATAAGCACAGAACACAGACCACAGGCATTTCCCATCTCCATCCCCCTTGGACAGGAGTCTGTGCTGCAAACCTAGGAGAGGGCATCTCCCTGGGGCAGTGGCAGCCTAGCCTCACAGACACAGGCTGTCACTGACACAGAGGGGACAGAGGATGTGCCCCATCAGGTTGCTCTGAGCACACCTGTGCCCACCATGCTCATGGGGCCTGCTCTTCCCTCTGGAACTGAGGGACGAGAGGCAGAACCCGGAAAAGGGTGTTCATGAGGCTGCTGCATCTCACTAACCTTTTAGCTTCCATGGGTGGGATGTGACAGTCCTCATGAAAGGCTCGTGGACAGGCGTCACAGCAGAGCAGCTGTCCCTCTCTGCAGCACACCTCACATTCATTCGAGTTTTCCCACTGGAAGAGGAGATAATGCGGGCACGCCTGGCATCAGCAAGATCCGCTGAGCACTAACACTGTGGGGCTCTGGGACACACTGTCCTTGCCTGTCCCAGAAGGGACTGGAAGGTCATGGAAGCCTTTTCTACACAGTATGGTTTGAGGACCAGTGGCCTTAGCGTCGTCAGGGGGCTGGTTAGAAACACAGACCTACTGAATCAAACCTGCATTCTAAAGGATGCCAGGTGGTTGGTATGTGAAATTTGAGAAGACATGGCTGTAGGCAACTCCCTCCTTTTACAAGTCTGGGAAGCAACTTAGTACCTGAGTCAGACTGGCACTCAGGCCTACCTGGGGTCAGAGCTGTTCCCACCTGCTGGGTGCCATCCCAGGCAAGCCTGTGGACCACTCAGAACTGTCCCTAAGGCTATGGCTGACAGACAGAAGGACACAAAGAGCTGCTGTGCAATGGGTCATTGTGTGGGCTTGAGACTCATATGGATCTTTCTTCTGGCTTTAAAATGGGATCCAATAAATTCTGCAAGTGATTTAGGTGAGGAACCCCATCTTCACTGCTGAGTAAAGCACTGGTTCTGCTACTGGCGGCCCCCCCCCCCCCCCAGACCAGACAGACAGCATGGGCTCCACATGGACAAGAGACCACTTTCTCTGTGCTGAAGGTAGGAGCCAGGAAGTGGCATTCATCCTTCTGTGCCCATCTGTGGCATTGTCCCCCACCCCCCCAGACAGATTGTGGTGGGTAAAAAGGTGGGAAACAGCTCACCAGGAGCTGGAGGAAAGGATCCAAGGGACTGGAACAGGCCACTACCCTCAACTATCCACAACACAAGCATGAGGACCTGGGTAAAGGCTTAGCGAGGGAAATGTTTTTCTATTCTCAACACTGGCCACTCAGCCAGAGTGAAAATTCCCTTTGATTTGGGGATGGTGTTCATCTCTCTTATAACTGAGAGGAGGCTTCTCAGCAGCTCCCTCCATTGACTGGGCCCCAGGACTTCATTAAGAGGGATCCCTCCACCCTGAAGTCCGGTGGATCTTTCTGGCCTTCCCATCTTGAATTCTCTAGTCTGCTTTTCTTTGTCCTTGGGGTTGATACTCCATGGCCATTCTTGCCCTCTGACTGGATGCCTGGCCTGCTCTGGACCAGGCTGCAGATTTCAAGGTAGCCTAGACCTACCCACTCTTCCTAGTTAAGACTCTAATTGGATCCAGAGTCCTGAGCCACCAGTACCCCCCCGCCCATATACTCTGGAGTGAAATTGTTTCAAGCACACATGATATGATATAAAAATAACAGAGAAAGGACATACAATTCCTCAACCCCCTGATCTCTAAAAAGAGTCTGACTCTGGTTTTGTGATGACCACTGACAGTTTCAAGCCCCACCCTCCCTCTTACCCTCTTGCCACATCTGCACAAGTTGATAAGAAAGCTATGGGTTTATAAAGATAATATATATTTTTAAAGCTATGGGTTCCTTCTCTCAGCCCTAGTGGAAAGTCCAAACCATATAGGCCCTGCCCCAGCAAGAGAATCCTCATCCTATTGCTAACTGTCCTCCTCAGCCCCACACTACATTCCTTTATAGTAGCAACTATTGCCTGTACACTAGGCCCTTGGAGATGGAGGCTCTCACAAGCTCTGAGCCAGGACTCTGCACCAACCACCCATTGTGGGAAGCCACAAAACACGTTTGCAATATCGGCATCAGGTGTCTTGATGGTACACACGTACAGAGTTCCACACCAGTGGGACTCGGTCTACTGCAGAGCAATAGTGATGTCTAGAGTGATGGGGCCAGGGAAAGGCCTGTGTTAGTCTATTTGAAGTCAGAACTAGACTTCATTCTCATTATCCCAATGTGGCTCCTTCTAGGTGGGATGGAAGGTCGGATCAAGTGAACTCCTGGCTATCATGTGCTGACATGTGGCACTACGTACGAGTAAGAAGAAACTATAATGTTGGGGCCATGAATTAATGATCTGGATTTTAAATATCTTTATTGTTGTTGTTTTTCTGGTTACAAAAATTTCCACATGTACATAAATGTGTAATATGGAAAGCAAATTTCCCATATAATCCTGTCCCATAATAGCTAGTTCTTTTAGATTTTTTAAAGGAATAGACTTACATGTTTACATAAACAAAACATAGTACTACAAGTTTGAGTTTCCAAAAGCTTTCCTGACCTCAAAACCTGTGTGTGGTTTTCCATTGACTGAAGGATGAATCTTCACCTATGCATTAAAAAAATACCATTCTGTAGATGTCTTAGGTTATTTTATAATACTGATGGACATTTGTAGTCTTCCCTAATTTTTTTTTGCTATTACAATGAGCATGCTGTACATATCAAGGTGTTTCAAATCAGTATGGAAAAGACAGCTTATACAAGAAATGGCATTGGGGGGACCATTGTTTCACACACTTTGAATGGAGCCAGCCAAGGGTCAAGCTAGCCTACAGGGCAAGATGGGAGTGACACCATTGCCTCTGCTGGAGGCTCAGATCTAATGAGAAGCCCATGAATGGGACTTGTGTCTGGAGGAGGCATTTAAGCAAGTAAAGAAGGCTAAGGAAAAGCAACTGGTATAGCCAATGGACTGCCATTTTCACCTGGAGGGAGGCTCTGCAGACACAAAGCTTAGTTCAAAAACATTCTTCCATTCTGATGCGCTTGATAAAAAATATATTGAGTTAAGATGACTTAGTGTTCAATCAAGGATGATCATCTTTCCCTTTCTGTTCTTATCTATTTCAACACCATATTTACTTTTCAAACTAGAACACTCAATTTCTAACACTCTGTGTTTGCCATCATCCAAATATCCAGATCTTTGTTTACAACATATACATCATCAGCTCTTGTCCTGATCTTTATTCTAAAGAGTTATTTGCCCCCCTCTCTCAAATCAGCTATGAAAATAATGGTGGCATGTACAGGTATCAGAACACTAAAACAGTCAACATGAAGACGCAGTGTCTAAATGTGAAGGTCACTCAGAGCTGGGAAACTCCAGGATTCAAGGATGAGCCTTTGAACATGAAAAGTTGGCAACTTGGTGATTAAAAATGTGGTAGAAATTCACTTTCTATTTACCTCTCTCTTGAGACTTATTCTTGAAGGACAGAACAAAAGTCCTTTCTGAAAGAGAGAAGAGGTCAATGAATTAGGTTATTCTGGATACTTTTCTTTTGTAATTATCAAAGTTTTCACTTCCTAGTGAATGTTTGTACCTGGACATCCTACTGGGTCTCAAATCCTAGGTGTCTAAAAGAAAAATGAGCTCCTTTCTCCAATCAGTTCTTCTTCTGGACTTGATAAAATCACTTTCCCCTATTACTCAAATCTAAGACCTGTCAGTCTTTTTTTTCTCAGTCCCTTCCCTACCCACTTCTTTTCATTTGCATTTCTTCCTCTTTAGATAAAATCCTATGGTTTCATCCCCGTGATAATTTCTGAGTGTAATTGAGAGGCTTTGTGTTGGGATCACTAGGACCCTAGTGTGTTGCTCACGGGATGGAATAGTGTGCTGGGAAGTACAGAGGAGAGACTGACCATGGACAGAATGGCCTGGAAACATTTCAATGAGGGGTCCAGATGGAACAGTGTCTTGAGGAGCGTTTAGCGGGTGGAGGACACTGGGAAGCTATGGCTGAGGTCTGTTTTCATCCAGTTTCCTTCTAGCCAACCCCACCTAATACCACCAGGGAAAGCTACTTAAATCTCTCCTGACTTCAAAACCCTTTGCTTGCACTTAAAGTTCTTCACTATCAGCACCAAACTGCATTTTTAGCTTTATCACACACATCTTTTTTTCTACTAAGGTTTACCTCTTTCTCAATCATGTTGTGGAATCCTAATGGGAATTTCTTCACACTTCTGTTATTGACATTTCCCTCATCCTTCAAGGAATTAAACCCATCACCTATCTGCCCCTTGTCCTTATAATACCTCCATCAGCCGTTGTAGGGTCTGTCCTTTGCAACGCACATTCCGCTTCCAGTCCTTTGATTTTGTTCCTCTTCCTTTAATTTCAAATTCTCTTGGTGTGAACCAAACTCCCTCCTCATTCTGAATGCACTTCTCTGAGGATCCTATAAAACAAAGACAGCCCATCCCACCATCTACTTCCATCCTCTGAATTCACCCTAAACTTCAACCCCCAGATTGTGGTGTTCTACCTTTCTGGGTTCAGGGAGACTCCCTGGGAGGCAGAACCAGTAGCAGACTGAAGGAAGCCCTAAAACCTGCCTGAGTGGTGAGGGGTTGGGAGAGAATTGGCATTTTATGTGACACCTTCATGTGGCAAGGACATGGTGACCAGTGTCCTAGGGTCCATGGATGGATGACTCCTTTGGGGGAGTGGCTGCCAGGTGTACCACAGCAAGGAAAAGTTTGAAAATTCCTTTTTAACAAACACTTTTTTCCCTTTTTTCTGCAGCCTGTTTTGCAGGGCTCATTTCCTGAACAATCACATACCTGGGTACGTTCCTCCCTTCTTGTGATTCCTTGGTTAGGGCAGGGGCCAGGAACCTTTTTCTGCCAAGGACCATTTGGATATTTATGACATCATTTAAGGGCCATACAAAATTATCAACTTAAAAGTTAGCCTGCTAGCCCTAACCGGTTTGGCTCAGTGGATAGAGCATTGGCCTGCGGACTCAAGGGTCCCAGGTTTGATTCCGGTCAAGGGCATGTACCTGGGTTGTGGGCACATCCCCAGTAGTGAGTGTGCAGGAGGCAGTTGATCGATGTTTCTCTCTCATCGATGTTTCTAACTCTCTATCCCTCTCCCTTCCTCTCTGTGAAAAATCAATAAAATATATTTTTTAAAAAAGTTAGCCTGCTATTTTTGGTCAATCACTTATTTAATTCAGCCCTAATGCCTTGGTAGGGCCAGACCAAATGATTTTTCAGGCCTTATATGGCCTGCGGTCTGGACAACCCCCACTCCTGGTCTAGGGGTTCCAAAGAGCAGAAGATCAAGGAACTCACCTTTTTCCATTTTCTCCTTATGTAAAATCCCCGTCTCTCCACCACAGGTCACAGGAAGTGTAGGAGACTGAAAATCCACAGTATCATCTTTGGGTTTTTCTGAAAGTGGACGAAGAGCACAGTTCGTTACTCAATCCTTATTCTCTCTCTCTCTCATGAATCCTCCTTTCCATGAGCATAAGCAGCACACCTTCCTTTACCTGGTGCAGGCAGGTCACTGAGTCATGGGGACCTTGTGTCCCCAGTACTTTGGAAACAACAAACCTGTCGCTAAGGGAGGGAAACAACTTTCTGAAGTGTTCCCCCAAATCTTGTGTCTGGCTCAGCCTTCCTCACTTATTTCAGCAAACAAGGCCTTTAAGGGTGGAACCCTGCCTGGAGCGCTCCAATGTGGATTAGGTCACCATTAGAAACTGTGAGCCAACAGGAGGAGCCCGCTATGAAAGTGAGCAATCAAAGAGAGTCCATGTAAACAGAAAGCACTGTGGAGGAAATGAAAAGAAAAGCCTTACAGAGAGAAGGAAGAGCAGAATGGGGGAAAAAAAAGAAAAAAAGAAAAACCAAAACAATTAACATGGGAAGACTAACTCCAGGAATTCTTACAGAACATAGGGAAAGGGCACTAGGTGAAAATTATATGGAAAGACACTACCTGGGGAAAGATCTGGGAGCTTTACGATCAGCACACACATTGTACTGTTTATTTTCACAACAATCTGTGAAACAGGGAAGGCAACGATGATCCCATTTTATAGGTGGGGATGCAGACTTAGATCCAGAGAGAATTCCTAGTGGTCACCCCACATTTCACGAGGGGCAACTGGCTTTGGGATCCAGACATACCATCTAGTCTAATGCTCTTCCCATGCCATCCAAAGGGCCTCAACAAGACTCTCTAATATATAATTGATAACAATACAGGGACACTGTTAACTCAGAAGGCAGAGCCAGGGTGGAAAGGTTAAGGAGGCAGGAGAAGCTGATGCTGGTGGGTAACTGTCAGTGTTTGCCTGGATTCTTGCCTACACTAGTGTTTTCTAAAAAGACCAGGGATTTTTTTTTTTTGGGGGGGGGTAAAAAACGAAGAACTTAAAATTTGAACACCTAGGTTTTTAGCTCACGCAAGTTTTTTTCTGTTCTAATTAACTATAAAATGAGTTGAATCATACTTACTTGAGGGTTAAATGATAAAATGTAGAGCAAAGTGATTTGACAATTGTAAAGTGATGCACACACTTATATTGTTGTCAGGGCCTCTGTTTAAGGTTGTGTGGCCTGTGCACTGAGCAAGGATTCCACCTTGGAGCGGGGATCTGATTTGCATCCAAGGCAGAATCCATCTGTACACTTCCTACAGCAAGCTTCCAGCAGAGGGCAGAAGAGGCCGTGGCTTCAGGAATCAGTTCTGAGAGGCGTGGGGAATGTGATTGAGGATGGAGCACCCTTTTCTAGTTCACAGGGGCATCATATGGGTAAATGGAGGCCCTGATGTTGTTGGTATTCATCCTTGATGAGGAAGAATGATTAAGGTTTTGATGACTTGACAGTTACTTAAGCATAAAATGTGTGAGGCCCAGGGGAAAGAGCAAGACTGACCCACTTACTGACTTCATTTGACTTTCGCACAGTGAACAGAACCTACACAGACGGTTAATTACAGTTGTGATAAGTACCAGAGAGAAAAAAATACAGGAAGCCCTACTCCTGCCTGCAGGGTGGAGAATGCTCTAGTCAAGGTGAGGCCTGAGGATGTATAGCAAAGGGAGGGATGGGGATGAGGGAGCGTGTGTGTATGTGTGTGTGTGTGTGGGGGGGTGGGCGGCACACCGAGCAGGCCCTGAACAGCAGGGACAAAGGAACCTATGTGTTGAGAAATCAGGCTGGTGGCCACCCAAGGGGTGTGGGTAGGGATTGGATTATGTTCTGTTTCTTGACTTGGTGCTGGGTACACATGGGCTCTTGCTTTGTGTTAATTCCTCAAGCTGTTCAGGTATGGTGCATGCATTTGTCCTTAAACACATCACACCAGTGCTACTCAGCATGTGGCCTGTGATGAGACAGGGGCTTGACCAGGATAGAAATCAGTGCACTGCTGCCTCCACTGGGTAGGTCTGGCCACAAAACAGTGTGTTCAGTGTCACAGTTGGTTCACAAGCTCTGTAGACCTGCAACAAACAGGCTTGTAGGTGGCACCAGTCTGTAGACTCCACTTTGAATAGCACCTGCTATACTTTAATAATAAGTTAATGGGACTAAAAAGACCAATGTTGCTTGTGCCAGAGAGGAAGGAGAGAGAGACAAGAAAGAATGCTGAAGAAGTAAGTTATAAAAGCAGAAGAAAAGTGAGTATAGGAAGAGGAGGAGAAGAGAAAGGAGAAGGAGGAGGGGAGGACAGGCCACCCAGGAGGCACAAGAGTTCAGAGGGACAGAAGCAAACCAGAGCCTGACTCACAGAGACCAGACCTGCACTCCTGACTAACTCAGGAAGAGAAAATCGGTCCCACCAGAAATGAGAACTCGCTCGGCTTTGCTTAGATTAGGGTTTTCACCAATTCCTAGAATGAAGAAAGTAGATGTTTATATTAAACTGGACTTATGTGTTCGGTCATTTTTCCTTATCGTTTTTGGGTTTCTATAGGTACTGTGTTGAAGAGTGGTTGCCAGGGCACAACGTGGACAGATTGGGTGGGCAGCGGGGCACCACTCCTTACGTCATTCACTGGGAGTGTGTCACCTGTGGCACCTAGTTGGAGTGGAGAAGAGACCTAGGAGGAGGAGGAGGACGAGGACAGTGGGAGGGAATACGGAGGAGGAGAGGGGAGAATGGAGCTTTCAGCAGCAGGCCTGGGCCCTGGGGCACCTGAGGGCAAGTCTCTGCCTCGCTTACTTACCCTTTTGGGGAATATTTTTCTGACAACTTATTGTTGAACTTGAACAGACATCCTTTTTTCTTTTCTTTTCTAAAAAAAAAATAGTCAATTATAATTGGAAACATACATTTACATGCTTTATATGTCAACTACATCGAAGTAATATTTCTTATCTTTATTCCAGTTTGGAGAAAGACAGATATGAATTCTTATGAAAGGAAAATCATAGAACTGACCAAGTAAAAATAGGAAGCTCATGTTAATAGGTAGGAAGGCTAAAATATTATAGAAGTCAACATGTCAAATTATTATATATAGTAATATGTATAATAATGTGTATATATACATTTAATACAAATACTAGGAGTTAATAAAGGATTAGCCTTTTACATATTATATAGGAAGGGCTTTTTAAGGCAGAAGTACAGGGAATAAAGCAGTGATTCTCAATGCTGGGTGATTTTGCCATCCAGGGGCTATATGGCATGTTGGGACTTTTTTTTTTTTGTCATGACTGGGAGGCAAGTGCTATTGGCCTCTGATTGGTAGAGGCCAAGAACACCAACTTTGTAAAACTCTGGCATAAACCATACTGGAAAAGATAAACTGAGTTGTCTAACTCAAATTTAAAGAAGGTTTCTATAACCAAAAATTTCTTAAGTTAGAAGACAAAAACAAAATAAGAAAAATTGCAATAACAAAGTGTTAATTTGATTAAACAACAACAACAGAAAGAATATTTTTAAACAAAAAAGGCATATATAAAAGAAAAAATTCTAATAAAAATTTTATTAAAAAATAGGTCCTGGTCATTTAAGATCATCCCAAACTTCAGTGGTTTATTTATAGGTGTTATCAAACTACAGCCTGAGGGCCAAATTGGCTCAATGCTTGTTTCTGTAAATAAAGTTTTATTGGAACACAGCCAGGTCCATTTGTTTATATATATTTATTTCTGGTGGCTTTTGTGCTACAATGACAGTGTTGAGTAGCTGCAAAGAGACTGTAAGACCAGCAAAGCCTAAACTATTTATTATTAGTTCCTTTTTAGAATAAGTTTGGTAAACACTGGTTTAGAAAAACACAGGTTTACTTCTCCCTCATGCTGTTTATTGGTCACAAGTTAGATGAGGTCCCGCGCCATTGACACTCATGGAGCCTGGGACAGAGATGCCTCTGTCTAGAATAGTGGTTCTCAACCTGTGGGTCGCGACCCCTTTGGTGGTCGAACGACTCTTTCACAGGGGTTGCCTAAGACCATCCTGCATATCAGATATTTACATTACGATTCATAACAGTAGTAACATTACAGTTATGAAGTAGCAATGAAAATAATTTTATGGTTGGGTCACAACATGAGGAACTGTATTTAAAGAGCCAGAAGGTTGAGAACCACTGGTCTAGAACATCGCTGGCCCCATGGCAGAGAATGACAACACAGGGCTCCTAAAGCTTTGGTTTGGAAGTGACCCTCTCACTTATGCCCACACTTCTTTGTCATGTCAAGTCACATGGCCATCCCTGAGTATACAGAGCAGGGATATATAATCTTCTGAAATATTGATGAGCAGTAATACAACCTGTCACAGCATGTTTAACCACATGCACGGCGCAAAGAAATTCAAAGAGAAACATTGGTGGAATATCATTCCATGCTTTTCATTTGTCAAACACAGAAAAGTCTTATTATTTCTAGTAGTGATGAAGGTGTAGGGAAGACACCTTCATCATATTTCGTTAATGGGAGCCTAAAGTGGCAATTATTTGGTCATCACTATATGCTCATTTTAAATATGCAGACTCATTGACCAATTGACTTCACTTTTAGAAATCCACTAGTAAGAAATACTACTGAGAATGTGTCCACTTTAGGGATTGGTGACACTCTCCTCGCTGGGTCACCCTAAATCAGAGAGGAGCCCCAGACTCAGTGGAGAAGTGGTGACTCTACCAATAGAAATGTTAACAGTAGACACTGGAAAGTGGTCATGTGAGTCCAGAGAGCACAGCTGAGGTCAATTGCACCCAGGGGATACACTTACTTCTTCCAATAACCACTCAAACCAACAGATCTTTGCTCTGTCTTTATGCCCTTCTTGTCTACACTGCTTTCTTCTTCTCATATTAACTTTTCATGTCCACCTAACTTTGTGCCTGCTGCATGAGAAACCCTCCCACCCTGAGCCTTCAAATGATAGATTCTGTCACCAGCCTTACCCTCAGGTCCAGATGTTTGGGCACATTCAGTCTTTGCCTTTTGGGCCCTTGTCATCACCCTTGAGTTTCCGGTTGAGTTATTCTTCTTTTGAGTTGCCTGATCCACCATTTGAGGCACAGGTGAGGTGGTTCCTGGGCCAAATAGTGATTTGTGAGTAGTTTCCATTGGGGTCCCTAATGAAGCTCCTCTTTCCCCTGTTAGTGACCTTTCTTCTGATGCTCCCTGTCTCCACGCTGTCAGGAAATCCTGCATCCCTATACCTTACTTTATCTTACTGTTTTTCTATTTTACTTGGAAATTAAAAAAGTTGAATAATGAAGTAATAAAGATATACTAAATTATTAACGTTTAAGTTAGGCCTTTTATTTTCAAATTTATAACCTGGTTTTTCAAGACTTGAAGAATATATATATAGAGATTATTATGAGCTTTAGATATAAAATATTTCTTAGCCAAAACTCAAGGCCAGAAATCATAAAGGTAAAAGACAGATTTGACCATTAAAAAATTTAAAAATGTCCACACTTCTGAAAACATCCCCACAATATTCAAAAAAATAAAAAATTGCAATATAGTAAAATATAGAGGGTTAATATCCTTAATGACCAAAATCATCAACAAACAGAAGGATGTTCAGCTTTTTCCCCTCCAAGGACAGTGATTACAATGAGCATAACAGTAGCCATGGTGAGAATGAATTAACATGCACTCGTTCACCAGTGCATGCCAACATCATCAGTTGCTTGTGCCCAGTTATACTATTATGTTTGTGTTTATGATGAGATGTTCTCTTCCCAATTTTCCCAGAAAAGTCATGTGAGAAGCATGGAGATTGGGACTTAAGAAAAAACTTGATCTAAGGCTTGGGCACTTCCAATAAAGTACCAAGAATATGCTTAGTGCATGAATTCTCAGTAGTGGTGATGCTGCCCAAAAATTGATTCCTGGGGGGAAAATCTTACTCTTTTTTATGTATAAGGCATAAATAAATATATGCAGTCCCTAAATCAATATAGAATATCTTTGTGAAATTAAAATGTCATGGGGTGTGTGTTCTTGATTAGGTAAAAAAACACATGCAAGTGGGCTCCCTAGGGCAGTGATAATGAAATGCTTGTTTAGAATAAAACAGTTCTGAATCTGGGCTCCAGAGACCACACTCTGAGACTTACAGTCCCTCATCTGTACCTTGTGTGATTCTTGGTGGCGTGCTGGGTGGGTCCTGGGGACTCTTTGTTTCATTCATATCTGAAGTGTCATCACTGACCTCTCAAAAAAAAAAATGGCATTCTGTTCAGATCTCAGTAAACATGCCCTAGAAGGTCTCATGGGGAATCTCACAGAGATCCAGGGAGGAAACTTGCACACCCTGCAGCTGAAGGCTGGAAGTTGCATGTCTTCTAGAGCCTCCACGGTGCCCCCCTGTGTGTCCATCACTGGGTGTCTCCCACTCAGGGCAGCAGGACATCCAATGAGAGAGCAGTCATCTGAACCCCTGGACCAGAGGCTCAAAGTGAGGTCATAAACCCCTGAGGGGTCCTAAAAACCCTTTTAGGAGATTTTTGAGGTGAAAACTGTTTTCATAATAAGGTGTCTTTTGTCTTTGTCACTATGGAGATCTCTCTACACATGGATCAAGAACTGCTGGTGCCTTAGGACAAATCAAAGCAGTGTCTCCAAACCATAGGAGTGGTTACTGTGGGAGTGGTCATTGCACTCCTCACTGTCACTCACCAGGAAAAAAAAAAAAGCCAGTTTGAAGAATGTTCTTGATGAGGCAGTAAAAACTATTAATTTTATTAAATTTCTATCCTTGAGTACACATCCTTTTAATAGTCTTTGTGCCCTAAGTCCCAGCTGGGGTCAGCTGTACCCTGTAATCACAGCTGTTTCTTTAACAAAAACTCCTCAGATGTAACCGGTATTTGTGCCCTCTCTGGTGCTCCTGTCACACCTCATCGTCTTTCCCTGCATTGCTCCCTCCTTCTCATATTAACTTCTCATGTCTACCTAACCCTGTGCCTGCTGCACAAGAGACCCACACTGAGCTTCCAAATGACAGATTCTGTCACCAGTCTTACCCTCAGGTCCAGACGTTTGGGCACATTTTGTCCTTGCCTTTTGGGTCCTTATCACCACCTTTGGGTTCCTGGTTGAGTCATCCTTCCTTTGGGTCACCTGATCCACCATTTGAAGCTTCTCTTGGATTCTTTGACCAGGTGAGGCTGTTCCTGGGCCAAATAGGGATTTGTGAGTAGTTTTCATTGGGATCCCCTCTGGGTGACCTTCCTTCTTATGCCTCTAGCTCCGAAATGTTGAGATCTCTGTACCTGTGTGCCTCACTTTTCTCCTGCTATTTCTCTGTAATTATATATTGTGTCTTGTGTGTGCCTTACTTCCCTTCCCCCATCCCCAAATTCACCACCTGATCTCACTCTTTGTAGAACCTATTGAAATCACCCAGAGAAATGTGGGAGAATCCCAGAGCAGTGGGGCTTATTTCCTGGCTCCTGTGTCTGAGTTACAGCTGCCACAAGGAGGTGGGCACATTTGAGTAAAAATGGCCTGGTGGTTCGTTTCAGCAGAGGAGGGGCCTTCTAAAGTTGTTTCCCCAGGGCCCCTGTGTGGCATGGGAGAGATGGGGGTGGGGGGAGGGGTGTCTGTGCAGGGCAAGTCTGCCTCTTTGTTGAAAGAGATCATAATTTTCATTGACTGTGGACTTTAGAACCTGATCCCCAGTAGAGCAAGGATATCTCTTTGAAAGCCCTCTCCTGGAAGATGGACAGATGAACATTTTTTTTTTTAAACATTCAAGTGCCACTTATGGAAGAAGCAGGAGTGGCTAAAAGTTGGAGAAGAGGTACCCAGGGAATTCAGTCATGGCAGTTACTGAGTTTTATCCAAAAGACACTGGGGCCACCTAAAAGAGCCTAACAGTTTCCTTTAACATGTTTTTGCGACATGTTTTTCCCCTGTCACAAACGGAGGGTTTCAGAGAAGTGAGAACTGTTACCAAAAAGAAAGACTACCACCTTTTTTGCATGCCAGAGTATAGCATGTATATTTTTAGTAGGACTATCTGTGTGTTTTTTTTTCTCTCAAAATTTGGTGTCTTTTTTCAGGTGTTATTAGTATTTTTAATAAATATGATTAATTAACTGCAAAGTAAATAAAATAGGAACAAAGCCAAATCTGGAAGGGCCTGGCATCTTCTTAGCAGAGGGAAGTATCAGTAGGGAAGTTACCCAAACAGAACAGCTTAACACAAACCCTGGAAGCTCCCCATTTCTAACAAGGCCACTCTGACTGGGGAGTGTGTGCTGTTGCATAGTCACACAGATGTTCCTGCCTCAGTCCCACAAACCTTTAGAGCACTATGAGAGTGGATGCCTCAGTATTGGGATGCTGGCCAGAGGGCATGCAAACCATCCATGCCTGCTCTAAACTCGGGATAACAAGAAAGGATTATGTGGGTTCTATTTCTGCACTGTGAGATTTTCCTCCAATAACTCTTAGTTTATACCAAGATCACATACTGATAGTGGTACCTGTGACTCTGCATAGCATAATAATAAATCACAAACCATCTTTTGTCAGATCATCCTTCAAATTATGGGATATAGGAAATATGGTTTCTTTCATTTTTTTTTCATTCAGGTAATACTTAATGTCACATTTGTGCCTGGAGATTACCATCTAGCTTAGAAGAGACACATTACTTAAGTAGTAATTACAGTGGAGTATGTGGAATCTTCCCAAAGGGCCAGTGCTGAGTGCTATAGGAACATGCAATGGGACCACCTTATCTAATTTAGCATCAGAGAACACCTTGAAGTAGACATTGAAGCCAATACCAGTGATGAACAGGAGATAGCCAAACATTTACAGGAAGTAGTGTAGGGTCAGAATGTAGCATTCAAAGAGAGGAGCATGTACCAAGGATCAAAGAGGAGAGAAATGAAACGGGAGGAATCAGTGTTGGCTGGAGTTTTGAGTGGGAAAAGATGGAGTTGAAGAGGAAGAGAAGGGTTGGATTGGAGAGAGCATTGTCAATCACACTAGGAACTATGAGCATTATTCTAAAAGCAATAGGAGGTCATGGATAAGTTGTAAGCATGGGAATGCAACCATCAGATGTTAGTGTAACAAAGAGGAGACAGAATCAATAGAACTTGTCAATATACTAAGGTAGATAATCAGGTAGTCAAGGATGGCTTACTTTTTGGCTTGGCAACTGGGTAACTAATTTCAAGTTAAATAAACTCCAAATTCCTCCCAATGGCCTGTGAGGGCCACATGATCTGGCCCCTCTCTACCCTCACCTTGTACCACCTTCTCCTTTCTTCATCATAACCCAGGTCAAAAGGGATGAGACCAGAACTTGGAGACACCTCTAAGTAAAAGACAAGGACACCTAGGGTTTCTATGGCTCTTGGAAAGACACATTTAAATTCCAAAAAATTAGGGTATGGACCCAGGATGCTGTCCTAGTCCTGTATATAAACAGCAAACCCATCATTCTCCATTCCTTATCTATGGAATGTAATCTGCCACTCACATAGAAAGATTCCATCAGCTCTTTTCTTGTTGCCTGTGGGTATGCACGTGGGGGAAATACGCTGCAATGTTAGTCTGTCTGTTGAGCTGCTGATTATCAATAAAAAATTCTTTTCCCTGACCCAGGTGACTTGTGTTTCTGCAGTAGTCATATATCTAAAGAATATGACTATGCAAGTGGAGTAACATCTCATCCTGTCACAGTTCCTGGCAAAGCACATATTGGGCACAATTGCATTCAGGGGTCCTCAAACTACAGCCCGCGGGCCACATGCAAATACAAATATTGTATTTGTTCCTTTACTTCAAAATAACATATGTGCAGGGTGCATAGGAATTTGTTCATAGTTTTTTTTTTTTTTAAACTATAGTCCGGCCCTCCAACTGTCTGAGGGACAGTGAACTGGCCCCCTGTTTAAAAAGTTTGAGGACCCCTGGAGATGGTTAGCACAGATCTTGAAATGGACAGGTAAAAAACTGAATTATAAAATCTCCCTCCAAATATATTGTATCCTTTCTCAGCAATGGCACCACCATTCACCCAGACATTCAAGCCAGAAATTGAAGAGCAAGCCTTGAGATCACTGTCTTTTTCATCCTCAGTTTCCAGTTTATCAAGTCTGGTCAACTCAACCTCCAAACTGACTTTGAATTGGTCCTCCTCTCTCAGTCTTCACTGCTTGATCTGAATCCAGGTTACTATCAACTCTCATGACATCTGCTCTCCAAATGGTTTCCCTATTTCCATTCTTTTCTATTTCCAATTTATTCTTTACACAGCACCCAAATCAGTCTTGTCAAGTTTAAAATTGGATAGGGTCATTCACTGATTAGATCTGTCAATAGCTTCACATTACATTTAGAATACAATTCACCTTCCCACACCTTGACCTACAAACATGAGCTGCCTCCAGCCTCCAGCCTCCTCTTCTACTGTCATCTTACCTTTTGAAAGTCTTTTTTTCTGTTGTCTCTTTTTAGGAACTGACCACATACTTCTTCTTCTTTTCTTTCCTAAAAAGACAGAATACATATAATCTTTTATAGCTACACACATAGATCTCCCATTGTCTATGTCAACAATTCTCAGCTTTTATGTTTGGTCTTCAAATGACAATAGCTAGGTGGTCATTGGTGACCTTAGGTGATGCTGCTTCATGGAGTAATGGCAGAGAAGAAATTCTAAAGTGGTAGAGGCAGGAGAGACATGAAGAAAAGGAGACAATGAGTCCAGGTAATGCATTTCTAGAAGCTTTGTTGTGAACTGGAGGAAAGGGCTATGGAGGCAAGTGAAGTGAGATGGGGATCAAGAGAAATTTCCTTTATGAGTGGGGATAGGCATGGGCATTGGTTAGGATGCAGATTCTTGTGAGAGGTTGATGGTGAATTCCACTGTCAGGCGAGGTTGAAGGACTGCCTTGGAGAGAAGGAGGGAACCAGAGAGGAGGAAATTCCCACTTGATAGGTTTCTATGAATTAGGAGGAAAATTAATCTCTTGAGGAAAAAAGAGGAGGCATCAATAAGGGCAGAAGTTTGAAAAAAAGAGCTCAGAGTTTGAAAGGATCACACAGGAAGTGGGATTGTCTCAAGGTGTGGAGGGATCATTTAGCTGAAATCGTGAAGACACAGTGGGTGTAGTCTGCTCTGCTGCGTGCCTCTTCCCAGCAGTGCCTGTTTTTAGATGCAGTGTGCAGAAAGCAGTAATAGGCTCCTTCAAGACCTACCGGAGAGTTCTAGGAAAAGACAGAGAGTCAAGGCAGGTTAAGTATCTGCCATAGGTTACTGAAATGGTGGCTTTTGGATTCCAAGCTGGTATGAAGGGGTATGAGGAAAGGCAGATGATGGACTGAACAAGGGAAAGGCCAGTGGACTGGTCATCCCAATGAGGTTGAAGAACAGCTACAGAGGGAACACATTGTAGGAAGAAATCAGGGAAGGATATTTTAAAATTAATTTTTTAAGATTGTGCTGAGAAGGGGAAATCAGAGGTTGAATGATTATTGTAGAAGGAGCAAACTCAAGGATTTGGTGTCAAAAAAGGAATTATTTAATTATTGGGAAGTTGAGCCAGGTTTGAGTGGTGAAAGGGCCTGTGGATAGTCTTAGGGTGCAGAAGGCAAAGAATTGGTGGAGGAAAAATAATTGAAAATTATCAGATGAAGGATCAAAGAAATCAGAGTATTGGATGGGCCTGTTATTCATATATTAGAGGCCTGGTGCATGAAATTCATGCATGGGGGGGGAGGGGGAAGGTGTCCCTCAGCCCAGCCAGCACCCTCTCCAATCTGGGACCCCTCAGGGGATGTCCGACTGCCCGTTTAGGCCCTGTGGGATCAGGCCTAAACCGGCAGTCAGACATCTCTCTCACAATCTGGGACTGCTGGCTGCCAACCGCTCGCCTGCCTGCCTGCCTGATTGCCCCTAACTGTTTCTGCCTGCCAGCTTGATCACCCCCTAACCACTCCCCTGCCAGCCTGATTGATGCCTAACTGCACCTCTGCCAGCCCGATTGCCCCCAACTGCCCTCCATGCCAGCCTGGTCGCCCCTAACTGCCCTCCCCTGCTGGCTATCTTGTGGTGGCTGCCCTCCCTCCCCTGAAGATCGGCCATCTTGTGCAAGGGCATGATGGTCAATTTGCATATTACCTCTTTATTATATAGGATACATTGAAGGTGTCCAGGATGATGGCAAGACTTGAAATAGAAAAACTCTTAAGTCAGCTTTGAGTTCTGCTGGGGAGTGGAGGGGAAGTCCAGGGATGATACTGATGAAGTAGTGAATAATTCACTGAATGGTTAAGCCTCAACAAAGGGTATGGGGGAGCAAGGGGCTGGCTGGGAACAGTGCGGAGCAGGGTGTGACATACAGCCTGCCTTGCACATTGAGGTGAGTGATAGCACAGAGAATATGAAGCCATGTTTTAAGAGAAAGCAGTGCGCTCTTGGGAAACCACCTTTCAGTTAAAGGAGGTGCGGACTAAACCTCTATGAAGTTGTGGATATAGGAGAGCTTGGTGGTTGCAGAATAGGCAATTTCAAGGGGTGTATATTATAATGGCTCTAAATGCCTTCCACTTTTCCTATCATTTAATGAAGGCCTCAAAGGAAGAGGCAGTGAAAAGGAATTGGAGAAACAAATAGTACTGAGTGTCATGACTACAATCACAGAGAGAGTGCTCATGACAAGATCCAATCAGAAAAACAGGATGCACCTTCACATTCCCCCTCCTGATGCCTATAAGAGGAGGGCAATCCTTACCTTTCTTGATGAGAGGTGTGCTGGCTGCCTCCTGGGGCTCTGCTGGCTCATTTGGTTCAGGAGAATCATTTCTTATCACTGATAAGGGAAACACAATTCATTTCAGAGGTCAGATGGGCTAAAGAGCTCAATGTGAGAACAAGGGGATGGAGGACATGTGTGGCCCAGGGCTGGGGACCTGCTAGTCTATAGGGTTTCCTGGCTCTGCCCGGAGTCAGTCAAACTTATGGTTATTGTGACTTGCGTGACTATCACAGAACCAGAGAGCAATTGCTCGCAGAGGAGGGCTCAGTTTGGCCCATTGGTTGGATTCCCCTTACTCAATGGAAGATGAGTACAGGCACTCGCAGTAGCCCTCACTCAGGGAATGAGGCTGACAGCAGTGGAAGCGGTGACCTTGAATTCTGGCAACCACAGTGAAGGTGAATGTCTGCCATATGAAAAGTATATGTTATTGCTTAGACGTCTATGAATGGATATTTTTAACCTGCTCTACCTGATTATTTCACCTTAAGAAATACTAAAGGAGGCTAAGTGCCTTATAGATATCAGCTGAAGAAAACAGGAGCCAGGAGGTACTTGCTAGCGCTTATTAACAGCAAATAAATACAACTGCTCTTAGTTTCTGCTGCACTAAGAAAGATAGAAGGGCTCAAAGCCATCACAGACAGAGGCCCGTCTCAAGAAAGCTGTCACCTTTTTGTTTTCACAAGCCTATGACATCCATCTCAAATTCTGGCCTATTTAGGAACAGGTAACTGGGGCATGTGGCAAGCAGTCGCTAGACCCTTTAAACAATTTGTTGCATTTAAAGCTATTTAAATAATATTAATTTTAAAAAATCCAGAAATTTCGAGGGTTGACAGTGATTATTTCCCATAGTTAAGGTGGGGACTGGGAAGGAGGGCCATCCATGTCTGGGGCACTGATTCAGTGTTTGGGCCACACAGTGGTTTTGCTTGCTTTGCATTTTGATGGAGCAGTTTTGAGCCTTGCCTTATTTAAATGGCCTTAGAGGGTGGCTGAGTCAAGCAGTCCTGCCCTGGCTCAGTGCTTCATGCTTTCCCCGGTGTTCCCGTCACAACCCCTCTGAAAGAGGAATGTTCTCCCTTTGCAGACCCCTTAGTGGTGTTTGAGTTTAGGTCCAGTGGGTATTAGGAGGGCTCCCATCCCTTGTCATTAGTGTCCCCTTCCCAGTCCACCTTGCCTTCCCCAGGGACTCTATCTCCCTCTAGGACAGTGATGGCGAACCTATGACATGCGTGTCAGAGGTGACACGCAAACTCATTTTTTTGGTTGATTTTTCTTTGTTAAATGGCATTTAAATATATAAAATAAATATCAAAAATATAAATCTTTGTTTTACTATGATTGCAAATATCAAAAAATTCTATATGTGACACGGCACCAGAGTTAAGTTAGGGTTTTTCAAAATGCTGACACACCGAGCTCAAAAGGTTCTCCATCACTGCTCTAGGAGCTCAGGTCTCCTGTCTTCCCAAGCCTCCAAGGGCTGGGTGAGCAGCCAGGAGCTGCACCGTGGTGGTGGTCAGGAGCAGTGAGGAGAGCCCTGTCTCTAGAAGGTTCAAATGGCTTCTCCTCTTCACAGACATAAAAACTAAGGTGGACTTAAGTTGCCTAAATCAAAATTACCTGGCTCGGGGGCTGAGGGAGCCTGGGGCATCTCTTGAGCATCTTCTTTATCTTTTGCTTGAGGGGTCAGGTGGTCACTGGACACTGAGCAGAAGAAGAAAAGGAATTTCAGATGCCAGGACCAGCAAGCAGGGATCAGAGATGGAGGAAAAAGAACAATCTATTCTATCAGGAGAAAACGATGGGGCCTGGACTGAACACCAAGGCCTAGTGAGGGTGACGCAGAGTGGGAGAGTGAGCCATCATTTGCTTTCAATGGCTACTTACTAATTTAATTATGGTACTTTTTTTTTCTTTGAAAAATCTAGAATATGGAACCTTACATTGTTATTCACTCTATGATGATGTTAACCTTAATCATATATTAAATATATATATATTAGAGGTGTAGAGGAAACATTATTTGGACCAAAGAGGACCCCTAATTCTCAAAATTCATGACAGCTACCATTTCTGGCAGCACCTAAAATATACCATGGTATATTTGACAAACTCCAACTCCTTTATCATGATGCTTTGCGGTTGATAAGTGACACAGTCTCAGAAACTAAATCAGGTCCAGCAGACCTTTCAACATGTTATCGTCTTTTCTAATAATTTTAATACCACTACTCTTAGAATTCAAACCACATGAAAATGAATACAGTTGAAACTGAAAGGCCTGTAATCAATCAGAGGGTGGGCAATCAGGTGAGGGTGGTGGATGTGAGTCTTGCCCAAGTTACTTTTCAATCAGAACAGTGTGTTTGAGTGTTGGTTGGACAGGGCTGTTGGACATCACAGAATCACACTGTCTGTGGCAGCGACGCTGAAAGTGGTCCTGTGCTAAGTCGCTGCATTGGTTCCCCTCTGTCTTTTTCTTTGTCATACACAGTTCTTTCTCTCAGGGTTCCTACCACCAGCCTCCTGGTTGGCAGGTGCGTATCCTCCCTTCACAGCTACCTTGAGCTAAACTAAGCCATCCTCAAGTACATTACCTTGCACAGTAGCAGGGGGAGTGCTGGGCACCTGTTGTGAGTCTTCTTTATCATTTATGCGGGATGTCAAGTTGGCTGTTGAAGAGAGGAAGGAAAATCATTACAGGTTAGATGGACAGGGTGTGGGGGAGGAGAGTGAAGGGTGAAAATGCCTGGGGTATATGGAGCACCAAGGTCCAAGGGCAGAGGGTGGGCTGTTCCAGGGATGGAAGCAGGGCTCTGGACTCCACATCCAGGCCCTTCACAGTGTACATAACCCGTCTTAGAAAAGGCTGTATATAGGAGGTGGGTGTATGGAAGGGGCAGATTAACACAAAGGTGGGACCTTGGGGTTGTAGACATGACCACAGGCACCCAGGCTGGTGAAGTCCAGGTGTTGGACTGAATCTGTATCTCACCTGGAGTAGTCCTTCCTTCCTGGATGACTCTTGGGAGAGCCTTGGCAGGGCCAGCAGAGCTGGGTGGCTTGTCCAGGACCTTATTGCTGTGCTGTGGGATTGCACTGGGCTGATTGACTCTGGGCACAGGGGTTGGGCATCTCAGTGGGGGGCGCTGGGGTGCAGGCAGTGGCAGCAGGTTCTGATGGGGGCTTCTACCTCTTGAGTTGGTTGGGACTTCAAAGACGGTCACTGTGGCTCCTCTCCATCCTCCACAGGAAGCGACAACTGGAATTGTAAAGGAGCACACATCAGCACCCTAGAGACTCAGAATTATGTGGGAAAGGGATTTCTTTACACACATGACTTCCAATAGGTTGGGGGACATAGAGGTATTCATTCTCCCCCCAGGTGCAGAGAATTGATTTATCGTCATCGCCATCCATTTGTGGCCTCTTTTTAATTTATGAATTTGAGCAGTGCTATACTAACTTTATCTAGCCTCAATCTATCAACAAAGTAGTTTCACACACGAAGTTGAGTTTCACTTTATCCCCAGGAATTTAAATTTTTTAGATTTTCCTTAATTTTGCCTTCAGAATTTAGACAATTATGAACAATGCTTTAATTGAATAGATTCCCCTGTTTTAATAAATAAGCATATCATACTTCCCTATAGCAAATAAGATAAAATATGAATTTCTTTTCATAGTGTTTCTTGTTTCTGCAGACTCAGCTTCTGTGCCTCCTCACCTTGTACCCTGTGATCTGGCCACACCCAACTCCCTTCCCATCCCTAGTACCCCAGGCCCATGACTTTTCCCAGGCTGTTCCCTGGCATGGCCAATGGTGGTTTTCTCTTATGATTCTTCTCCATCATGTATTTCAGAAGTAAAGTTGTTTCAATCAGTGAACAGAAAAAGGCAAGTAAGGTAGGATTTTGGAGAGGGACCCAGAAAAAAAATCACAGAGTAATAGATCAAGAAGGAGGTTTGAGCTCAGCTAGGTCAGGGGGGCAAGCCTGACTGTCAGACTTGCTTGGCATGGCCTTTGAGAACAACATTTCTCCCAGAAATGCCCCAATGCTGCCAGGAGCATGGGCCACATGCCTGCCTAAAGGGTGACTTTTCTCTTTTGAGGCCCCTTGAGCCCAAGGTTTCATTTCCCCCTTTGGGAAGGAGGCTTTGGATGGAAAAGTGTTGGAGAGCTCTCAGCAATAGCGCTCTGCTGGTCTCTACCCTGCTGTTCTCAGATAAGTGAACCTTGTGTTTCTCCTCAAACCTGAAACAGTTTTACCATCTGCTCCTTTTTCTTCTTCTTTTTTTCAGATCTCTATCACCATTCTTTTTTCTACTCCTTTATTTATTCAGTTCTTTCTCCCTCTAAGGGTCTTCATGCTCCATGTCTTTCTCATATCCTCTTTCTGCCTCTGTGTCCACAATTCCCCTCCCTTTCTTCTCCCCTCCAGTGTCACACTCTGCCTCCCAGCTACCCACTTTAGTGGAGTGATTAAAATTCCAGGCCCTGGTATTAGGAGATACAGGTAGGACTTCTGGCTCTGCTCTTAACAGACAAATAACGTTGGGAAAGTTACTTTTACTTAGAGCGTTAATTTCCTTATATGTTATACTAGAGGCCCGATGCACAAAGATTCGTGCAAGAATAGGCTTTCCTTCCCCTGGCTGCCAGCACCTCCTGCACTCCGGCCCAGAGCCTCCTTCCACCTCTTGCCTTGTCACATCAATTTGCATATTCCCTCCTTATTGGCTGTGGGTGCCGCCATCTTTGTTTCGGAGTTACGGTCAATTTGCATGTTCCAGCTTTATTAGATAGGATGGGGATAATTGTGACTCCACAGGATTATTTTAAATATGATATGAAATAATCATATGAAGTGCCTGGGATATTGCCTGGCACATACTAAGCACTCAAAAAGAAAACAATACCACCAACAAAGGATAAACTTATTATTATCTCTCCTTACCCATTACTCTTCCTCTCTTGCTCTCCTTATCCTTCCATCAGAAAGGGTTTCTGGAACTTTGCATTTCCTCATTTTATGCATTCCTTAGAGACTGTCCAGTATGCTAATCGGTACAATTTCCCCAAATTCTTAGAACAGGTCAGACAGAAACATATGTGCCCTCTAGAAAGTCATCTTAGAGAACCAGGGCTAGAGGCTACTCTTGCTGCCATATCTGTGAGAGAGCATGCCCCACACCTTCCCAAAGAAAAAGTGGGCAATTAAAGTGCCTCTTTTACATGGGCCCACATGCCTGTCTGGGGCTGGAAAACAACCCAAACTTTCAGCATAGCAACCCCCCTCATGCTTCTATAGCCCCAGAGGTATTTAGGAGGCATCATACCATTTCTGAAGCTCCTATGAATTGCCACCAGGTTGGGGTATTCACGTAGATTGATCTGACTGAACAACATTTCCAGAAATGACAGATTAAATGGCTCCTCCATTTTGGTGAGAATGTTGTAGACCACTTTGGATACAGGGACCATATTTCTACAGGCTTCCATAGACTCCTTAAGAAACAGAATGAAGGATTATTATACATGATTATAAAGATAGAGGTTTGTTATATATTTGTGGTTTTCTAAGTTGTAATAGAGCTATTTTGCTCTTTTAAGAAGGAATTTAATGCAAAATGTATAGTCAAACTCCTAATGTAGAAAAATCACAGTTTTACCTGTTTACTTGAGAACTTCATATATACTTTGATAGTCATAGAAATAAATAATTTAGCCTTCTTTAAAATAAGTCTGTTTTGTAAACCTTATTTTAGGTTTATTTGAGGGAATAGAGAAATTTTAAGAAAGGAAAGTGGAGTCAAAGACTGTTATGGTATAATTCTATTCTCTAAGGCTCTGGGCAGGACACTTCAGCAATTGACCCAGTGGTCAGTAACTAGTTGTTATTCTGTTGATTTTTGTTAGCCTGTGTTCTCTTTTTGCCTCTTGGACTTGAGATGGCCCAAATAGGTTCTAGCCATAGGGAAATGACCCAGAGAATTCTTCTTGATAAGAGGATGGCTAAGAAGACAAATATGGCAAGAGAGAATTGATTGTAAAATGTTTATGGAGCACCTACTAGTCTAGTCCTTGTGTACAAAGCAATGGAGAAGATTAACATGGTGCTCTCTTATTGGGGGAGGGGCACTGTCAGACAAAAAAGATAGGCATCCTATATAATAAAAGGCTAATATGCAAATTGTTCCCTCGACTGGGAGTTTGACTGGGAGTTCGACCAGGGGACAGGGCAGGCTGGCCAAACACCCGCAACCCCCCCCCTGGCCAGCCCCAACCCTGATTGGCCCCCCCACCCTGATAGGGGCAGACCTGCCAGAAACCACCTATGCACAAACTTGTGTACTGGGCCTCTAGTTAAATAATAAACACAAATTAAATAAATATCCAATTATTGTTGAGAGAAATTTTATTAAGGGAAATCATAGGAAGAATAATGAGGGGGGTCTTAATTAGGAGTAGGTCAAGGAGACATCTCTGAGAAGTGACAGCTGGGCTATGATCTAGAGAGGGCTTAGAGTCAGCCAGGCCAATACTGGGGGAGAGGGTTCTATCACTGCTAACACTTCCCTAGGCTCAGGAATTGCTTTAAACACCCCAAATTATATGAAAAGAATGCCATTTTTATACACATAGACATATCCCATTGCCTGCCTTTTTTTCACATTAGAATGGACCATGGGTGTCATGCTCTTAGGAATTAAAATGGTGCCATTAGTAGGATAAATGGTGTCCCCTCCCTCCAAAGATATGTCCACTTGAAACCTGTGAATGTGATCTTGTTTTTAAAAAAAATGTATTTTCTGATATAATTAAGGATCATTTTGGATTAGGTGGGCCCTAAGTCACAATGACAAGTGTTCTTAGAAGAGAGAGAGAGGAAGGGAGAAGACACACAAACAAATAAAGTGATGTAGAGATGGAAGCAGTGATTAGATGTTTTTATAAGTCAACAATACCAAACATTGCTGATACCACCAGAAGAAAGTCAGGGAACAGACTCCCTCAGAAACTCTAGAAAAAAATCAACCTTGGCAACACCTTGATTTTCAATTTCTGGCCTCCAGAACTGTGGGAAAATACATTAAAATTTTTTTTTGATTTAGTGATTTTTTTGGAGAGAGAGAGAGAAAAACATTGACTTGTTGTTGAACTTATTTATGTATTCACTGGTTGATTCTTGTATGTTCCCTGACTAGGGATTGAACCCCCAACCTTGGTGTATCAGGACAATGCTCCAACTAACTGAGTTACTCAGCCACAGCCATTTTTTCTTTTAAGTCACCTGGTTTGAGATCACCCTATGATATCCTCTGCCAATGAACATTTGAGTCCAGGCCTTCTAAACTCTAGAAATCTGGTGTGTGTGTGTGTGTGTGTGTGTGTGTGTGTGTGTGTGTGTGGTGTGTGTTGGTTTGGGACTTCAACAATTGGGCTCTTGGTGAGAACTGGGCTGTTATGTGAATGTGGTCAACATGACTCACCATGTACATTTTATCAGAGATGAAGGATTTGTCTCGGAGGCCTTCCAAGAAGGGAAATGGCTTGCATATGGCATAGGAGATCTCCAGCTTCTGGAAGATGAAGTGCTGGCGAAGAGTTTCTTTTAAGTCTCGGGTGATGTTGAACATCCTATGGAAGGGGCAGAAGAAAAAAAAAAGGGAAGCAAAGACATTGTGGAGCTTGGGAAGCTGCCCTCTGTGTTTAGTGAGCATTCTGGCCCCAAAGGCATCCCTGAGCAGTCTGCAAAGCAACATCTGCCCCAAAGACTGGTTATAGGACAACACCCAGCAATAATGGAGGCTAAAAGTGACCAGCGACATGACTCTGAAACCCCAAAGGAGCTGCTGGTTAAACATTGGGCAGGTATTAAAAATAGCTAATATTAATTGAGAGCTTCCAGTGTGCCAGATTTTAAGGGTTTCCCATGAAGTGACTTATTTGACCTTCACAAAACCTTTGATTACTATGATCGCAGCCATTTTTATTGTCAAGGACACTGAGACATAGAGGGGTTTAATAACTCACCCTAAGTTGTGCAACCTGGAAGTGGAACAGGTGAATAAATCCTGACTTTCTGGTTCCTGGCTGCCAGTCATAAGCACTATGGTCTGTGGCTACATTGAGCTGAGTTAAGATCTCCTAGACTGCAGCTTAAGGCACACACAAGCCATGCTTATGTAAAAGGGATGGCCCCAAACAGGCAAAAAGATGGAAACAAGATAAATGTTAGATTAGAAACTTTAATCACCTACAATCTTCAACACACAAATAGGCAAAACATAAATAAAAACACAAAGAATATAAAAGACATAATTAGTTAAGGTGATTTGACTGATTTATGTATCAATTTCATATCTTAGACATGTGCCTTTTCCCATGCCCATGCCACATTTATAAAATTCACCATTTGTAGGTCATGAGAAAATAGTAAGTTTAATTGGCAGGAAATTGACAGATGACATTTCCTGACAAATTGTCAAGAAGAGGGAGGCATTGACAAAATATTTATTCATCTAGAGATATTTAAAAAACAAAATGAACAGAGATCCCATTTTTCCAACTCCATTTTATGTCCAAGAGAAAATGGAACTGTATTTCCCAGGATTTAATCCCAGTGGCAGATTGAGTACCTTGTCTCTCTCTTTCTTCATTCTCAAATCCTTTAAGTTGACAGAAAAAAAGATATTGTAAAAAAGAAAATCCAGAACAGTACTAGAAAACAAGAAAACATGCCAGGGGTGGGGGGAAGGGGGGGTAGGGTGGGCCTCTATAATTGTGAAGAAATCCTGGAAGATAGAAAACAAATGGGAAAGAAATCTCCCATCCACGACATGCATGAGGGAAGGATATTGTAAAGAGCACAGAGCTAGAGAAAGTCAGAATGAACACAGGACATGCTAAGAAGAGGAAGGGGCTCTGGGGTTAGGACGACTAATTATACAACAGCTTTCAGAATAGAACACTCCCTTGGTTCCTCTTAAAAAAAGTGCTTTCTGTGATTGTTCAATTACAGTTGACATTCATTATTATATTAGTTTTCAGGGTTCAGTATAGTGGTTAGATATTTATATAATTAATGAAGTGACCCCCCCCTCATTCCTTGTCTGTTATGATTTCCAGGGATGAAGCACAGAGAGGTTAAGTATCCTGCCCAAGGTATTCGGTGGCAAAGGAGAGCTCATCTGACCAAAGCCCCATTTCTCGCCAGCACCTGATGCCACATCTCATCTATGAGTGTTCAGATTTTTATTATGTGGAGAAGTCTTAAAAATGAGCAAATTAAAGACAAACATCCATGTAGAAAAAAAGAAAAAGACATAAACAGGCACTTATATAATTGTGCAATAAATATAATAAAAAACAGGGTAACTCACTAGTAGTCAGAACAGTGCAAATAAAGTCAACTTAATAACAAGTTTGCCTCTCAAATGGACCACGATAGAAAATAATAGCACCAATCACAGACTCTCCTGGTGGAAGCTGAAGGCTAACTTAGTAATCATGGCCAAATGTCCTAAAATATGTGCTCCCTTGAGTCCCAGATTCCACTTCTAGGAATTTATTTCAGGTAAATAATTATGGATATGTTTAAAGAAAAACTATAAGAAGTTTACAATACACCACGGAGGAAATGAAATGTACCCTCCTTATTTTCTCCTTTCTCCCCCCTTCCCAACTACCTTCAGTCACTGGCACAGTGGATAATTAATGAGTTGCCATTTGGGGCAGAGTGCAGGATCACAGAGCGTGGATGAGCACGGTGGCGAGCAAATCTTGTCTCACCCACAACCACAGGCTAGAATTTAGGGAAGAAAGAGTTGAGCTGTGTGTGTGCTGCCCTTCTGTCCATCCCCCTGTTCAGTAGTCTCCTATTAAATCCCACATACTCTCTATCTCCTTGGAAAACACAGTTTTACAGAGAGTGAGCCGCAGTTTACGCAGTGGAGTTTCACCCTGCAGCTGCTGCCAGGAAATGAAACTTAAAAGCCCAATCACCAACAACGAACAAAGCAGCTAAGTGAAAAACCCACCTGGATGCTGAGTTTTCCACCTGCTCCTTCCCTTCTGTGGTGCAGGGGCCAGCCAGCAGTCGCTCCTGGAAGACTGGAAGACAAGCAGGGAGTACCAGCGGGTGAGGCAGGAAGTCTGTGCTTGGCACAGGCAGCAGGGAGGGCCTGGCTTCCCAGGAAAGAAAAGTGAAAGTATCATGAGCAGTTTGTGCAAGAAGCTGAAGGCTGAACTTGCAGCTTCACTCCACCCCCAGAAACTGGTGAGATTACGAGGGTACCTGGGGTTGCTGGTGGTGGTGGTGGGGTGTTCCCCATCCAGTCCAGTCTGGGAGGGGGAGCAGAGGGGAGGAGGTGTAGGGGTCCAACCCCAGGGTCCTGGGGATCTGAGAAGCCATGGGGGGTCTGCTTCCCTACCCACCTCTATTTCCCATGACTTGTCTTTCTCTACTTTTTGGGTAATGAAAATGTTCTACAACTGGATTGTGGTGATGGTGATAGTCACACAACTGAGTACATTTACTGGAAACCATCAAAGTTTAAAAAACAAACAAGAAATTAAAGGGGAAGTGAGGCAGCTCAGAAATGCTTATAACACACTATATAACGCCGAGCATTGGGGCTGTCCCCAGCCCGGTGTCCTAACACTGGCCCTACCTCCTCCAGTCCCAGGCTCCCTGCTCTGCTAGGCCAGCCGTCCCTTTTCTTTCTCAAGCCACCTCAGCAAGGGGAAGGGACAAATGCCAAGCACACTTAGTCCCCATACAAAGTTACTGCCTCACCTCAGAACAACTTTGATTCCTTTGAATTAGGCTCCCCTGCCTTCTTTCCTTTGGGTAAACAAGTGGCCCCCTGTCTTCCTCCTAGATCTGGCCATGCTCCTCCTCCCCGGAACTGAGGAACTGAGAACGCCCTCAGAGGTTGGGGGGAGGGACAGACGCGGCAGACAGGACAGACACTGATCGGCCTTTTCACTTTTCTTTTATCCTTTGGGTGCCGTGCCTGAAGGATCCTTCAATGGAAAGCTGTTCTCCCTAGAGCTGTGGGAAGACAGTCAGGGCAAGCCTAACCAAGGGCGATCCTAGGCCAGCGCCATGGCCCAGCGGGGCCAGCAGATGGCATGTGGAGACTGTGATCTCAACTGCAGGTCAGTCCTGGTGTCTGGTAAGGTGGGCATCTACTCTTGTTACTTCTGTCTACCCAGCCTCATTCTACAGGTATGCAAGTATGCAAGAGAAGGAGATTACAAATGAGCACATTCGGTTTTTAAAATTAAAGTGGGAAAGCTTAAGGCCACATAACTCACATATTTCCTTTTCTCACATCCCGAACCCTCTCATTTTCCCCATGCCTCCTCTATCCCCACCCAAAGACAGCTCTGTCCAAAAAAGGTCTTTTTAGACAAATTAACATCCCAGTCAAATGCCTGAGTGTTGTCAAACTTTTTCCAGTTTCCAGGTAGTTGGGAACCAGTTTTATTTGGAGCCCGAGAGTCGATCTAGTGCCTCTGAACATTGATAAGAGGAACTGAAAATAGGTGGTGCCCAACAGGGACTAATATAATCACGCGGGGAGCATGTGTTGCTTTTTTTCTTTTAATTCTAGGATGTAATACCCATCTGGTTAGAGAAGGAAGCAAATATTCTTTTAAAATGCACGATTAAAAAATAATTTTAAAAATGCAAGATAAATACATCAGTATGTTCTTGTTGGTAAAAACTAAATGTATAATTTATGGAAACTCATGCAGTGTGGTGGGTCCTGAACTCCCAGCACAATCTCTCCTGGCAGCAGAGAGCATGTCCTGATCACCACTCCTCCACCTGCTCCCATGACATTTGAAGATGAGTGAGTAGAGCTAGTAGTCCAGTCAGCCTTTGGCCTTCAGGCAGGAAAAGAAAGGCACTGAGAAGTGAGGTCAGGGGTAATGCTGGCCTCATAAAATCATTTAGGAGGTGTTGCCCTTGCTTCCATTTTCTGGAAGAGATTATAGTTGAAATGGTTTGGTGGAATTCACTAGTGATACCATCTGGACCTGGTGCTTTCTTTTGGAGAGGGGCTATTAATTATTGATCCAATTCCTTTAACAGATATAGGCCTATTCAGATGATCTATTTTTTTCTGTTGAGTTTTGGTAGTGTGTGTCTTTTAAGGAATTTGTCCATTTCATTTTTACCAAATTTGTAGACATAGTTGTCCATATTATTTCTGAATTATCCTTTTAATATCCATGGGATGAATAGTGATTTATTTGTTTCTGTTATTAATAATTTTCCTTCTCTGTTTTTCTGTGTTAGCCTGGCTAGAAGTTTGTCAATTTTATTGAATTTTTTTTCTAAAAAATTATCTTTTGGTTTAATTGATTTTCTCTAATGTTTTCCTGTTTTCAATTTCATTGAGTTCTACTCAAACTTTTATGATTCCTTTTCTACTGCTTCCATTAAGCTTATATTTCACTTTTCCCCCCTTTAGTTTCCTTAGGTGGTACACTTTAAGTTGCCCAGAGACTCCTTACACTGTCCTTATTTTTTTGGAATGTATTTTTTCTTTTTGTTGTTTTGATTGGGTGTTTTTTGCTTCCTTATATTCCAAATCACTGTTTTGATTATTCACTTTATCTATTGTACTGTTGATTTCCTGTAAATTATTCTTCATTTTAGTTAGTTGGGGGGAGGGACAGACACGACAGACACTGAGTCATTTGTGATTGATTCTTTCTTATGGTTTGCATGTCCTTTTTTATGCTGTTGAAGTTCTCTCTAAGTTCATATACACTTTCCCTAAGATCATTGAGCATCCTTTTAACCAGTGTTTTGAACTCTGCATCTAGTAGATTGCTTGCCTCCATTTTGTTTAGTACTTTTTCTGGAGTTTTGTTCTGTCCTTTCATTTTGGACATGTTTCTTTGTGTCCTTATTTTAGCAGTTCTGTGTTTGTTTCTATGTATTAGGTAGAGCTGCTATGTCTCTTGAGCTTGATAGAGTGGCCTAATTTAGTAGTTGTCCTATAGGGTCCAGGGACACAACCTCCTGGCTCACCTGAGCTGGGCCTCCAGGTGCAACCCCATTGTGGGCTGTGTACCACGTCCTGTTGTAGTTGAACCTTTATTGCTGTTGGTACATCAATGAGAGAGATTTACCCCCAGGCTGATCGGTTTCAAGGACTAGCTGCAACCATTGTGGATGATCAGCTGTGCAGGGCTCTGGTGCTTGCTGAATCCATCCCTTGAGTGTGTCAATAGTGGGTGGTAGTTCAATGTGGTTTGAAGCTGCTGACTAGATGTACTGGCTCTGGGGTCACTTGGCATAGCTACATAAAGGTCTGCAGATGTTTGCTAGTTATGCTGGTCTTGGAGGTGCCCAGGAGAGACCAAGCTATGAACCAAAGCTGGCTGCCACTAGTGCTGGGCCTAGGGCAACTTAACAAGAGGTACTGGGCACATGGAAGCCAGGTGCTGCTTGTTTGGAAAATTTTAAGAAAGTCTGGACTGGAGACGGGGTCCTGTAGGAAGAGTGAGCGTGGTGGGAGGGTCAAAGGATGACAAAGTGGAGGTAGTGAAGAGCGAGTAAGGAATGAATTTTAAAATTGGAAAATGTGGGAAAACGATTGGAGGCAGCTTGGGTTTTGCCACCTGCATGTACTCATCTATATGATAAATGATGGAGCATGAAGAATAAGGGGAAGCTTCTCTTACAAGTAAGAAATTTTTGAAGAATTTCGCCACTGAAAAATTAATTTTTCAAGTCAATGATTTGCTTTTTAAATAAAAATTGATCATTTTCCAAGGAAAAAAAAAAAAAAAAAAAAAAAAAAAAAAAAAAAAAGGAAAGTCTGAAGCATAAGCCAAGACAGGCCATTGGTATGGAAAAGCTCCTGGAAACAGCTTTGGTAGGCTCAGAAGTTGGGTAGGGCAGGATCTCAGGGAATCACCAGGATGGGGGGGAATGGTGACTGACAGCTCTGTGGGGTAGGTCTCAGAAAAAGTACCCACCTAATTGTTATCTGCCACATGTGGATGGGACCAGCCCATTCTGCATTTCTGCCCCTCCTACTAGTCTCAATATGGCTTCTTCTTTAATTCCTTAGTTGTAGGACTTGCATTTAGTTAGATTTCAGGTGGTTCTGAATCATGATTGTTCTTTATAGTTTAGTTGTAATTTTGATGTGGTTGTAAAAGGATGCTAGTACTGCATACCAATGCCACCATCTTGACTGGAAGTCAATGCTACTTTTTAAATTGTATACACATTAAGGATTGCCAACCTTTATCCTATATAATAAAAGCCTAATATGCCAAGTGTCTGGTCGACTGGTCGGCTGTTCAACCAATCAGAGTGTAATATGCTAATGACATGCTAAATCCGCTCAACTGCTCACTATGACGTGCACTGACCACCAGGGGGCAGACGCTTCAACCGGTAGGTTAGCTGGCTGCTGGGGTCTGGCTGATTGGGACTGAGGGAGATGGGCCAGACATCCCCTGGAGCCCTCCTGTAGTCCCTCCCCGGCTGGCCAACCTCCCGCGTCTCTCCCTGGCCCTGATCGTGCACTGGTGGGGTCCCTTAGCCTGGCCTGCGTCTCTTGCAATCTGGGACCCCTCAGGGGATGTTGGAGAGCCAGTTTTGGCCAGATCCCAAAGGCCAGGCTGAGGGATCTCCCTGATGCATGAATTCTTGCACCATGCCTCTAGTCCTAATATATAAAAAGCCAGGGACTGTCACGACTGAAACAACTGGACAGACAACTGAACAGCAGCCTGCTTGGGCAACCAAGGCCGGCAGGGGGGTTATTGAGGGATGGCCAAATGACTGAATAGCAGGCTACGTGGGGCGACCAGGCCAGCAGGGGCAGCAATTGGGTGTGACTAGGCCGGCAAGGGGGGAAGTTAGGGGCTAGCAGGCTGGCAGGCAGAGGCAGTTAGGGTTGATCAGGCTGTCGGGGGGGGCAGTTAGGGGTGATCAGGCAGGCAGGCAGGTGAGCAGTTAGGAGCCAGTAGTCCTGGATTGTGAGAGGGATGTCCAACTGCCAGTTTAGGCCGTCGGACATCCCCCAAGAAGTCCTGGATTGGAGAGGGTGCAGGCTGGGCTGAGGGGGACCATCCCCCCACCCCCCATGCACAAATTTTGTGCACCGGGCCTCTAGACATTATATAATGCCCTTCCTATCTCTGACAATTATACTTGTTCTGAAGTCTGCTTAGTCTGAAATTAATATAGCTACTACAGATTTCCTTTGATTAATGTTGGCATGGTATATCTTTCTTCATCCCTTCACTTTTAACCTATCTGTGTTTTTGTATTTAAAGTGACTTGCTTATAAACAGCATATAGTTGGATGTTGTCTTTTTTCTCTGTCAAAGTCTATGTTTTAATCAGTATATTTAGACCATTCACATTTAAAGTGATTATTCATGTTGTTGGATTAATACCTATAATTTTATAACTGTTTCCTATTCATTGTATTTGTTTCTATTTGGTTTTCCCTTTTTTGTTTTTGTTTTAATTGAGCATTTTATGATTCCATTTTCTCATCTTTCAGCATATCAATTATACTTCATTTAAAACATTTTTATTGCTTTCCCTAGAGTTTGCAATAAATATTTACAACTAGCTATATCCATTTTAAATATAGTGTACTGCTTCATGGTTAGTGCATGTCTCTTATAATAGGATGTAACAAATCCGTCCCTCCTGTCCTTTATAACACTACCACCAGTCATTTCACTTATTCATATGCTGTAATCACATAGTTGTTATTACTTTGAACAAACAGTTATCTATTAGATCAGTTTATAATAGGAAAAAATTATTGTACCTACATTAATTTCGTTCTAAGAGTCTTCTTTCTTTATATAGATCTGAGTTTCTGATCCATATAATTTTTCTTCTGCC